AGATAGATGAATTATATTAAATCATTAAAAAAATAAAAATTAATTTTTATTTATATAATATAAATTAAATTTTACTAACATTTATTTTTTTATTATTAACAGATAGATGAATTTAATTAAAAAAATAAAAAAATAAAAATTAATTTTTATTTGTATAATATAAATTATTAATAAAAAAATATATACTTATTACGGTGATAATATGGGGTTGTAAATTATCGACGCGGTGTCGGATATACGACCGTTCCATCATTTTGGGCAAATTGCGCTTACCCCCTGATGCAATTTGCGATGGGCGCAGTTAACACCCTAATTTACAAAAATATGCATCCAACCCCCTCCTACCCCCAATTCATGAAAAACGTGTGCTTGGTCTCAAGTCTCAAGTATTTTTTTGGCAATTCACCTTCACTATTTAATAGGCTTGGGGTTAAAATGCATGTTTTTCAAACTGTAGGGGTTACAAAAGTTAAGTATACATTTTTTCAAACACGTGCCAAGTGCATAGAGTAGTACCAAAATCCCAAAATCAAAGTAATATTCAATTCGGCATATTGATGATTAAACCAAAATGTTGGCTTTACTTCATTTATCATGATCTGAGAAGTGCATCCACCCCTAAGTAAAAGAACCACAGCAAGACAATCTTTAAACGAAAAATTATTTTACAGTTCAGTATAGTTCAATTGTTGTACTAGATTGTAAAACAAGGAACTCATCTTTAAAATGCAAAAGTATAAGAGAAAATTCTTGATAAAGGAACATTTCCTTCACTTCTCATTGTTTCCAACACCTTGTACAGATTTACGTAATATAAGATCCTAACCCTGAATCTGATCATACCTCACTGGAATGAAATTGTTAAAGCAAAAGGAGAAACAAAAAGAATAGAACAATAAGAAAAGGGAATGATATCATTTTCTTTCTTTTTCCATTAGCTGTCTGTTCTTCATTGACTACGCCACAAAAAATAGGAAAACCATAAGGAAAAAAATCAATACAAAAAATATCTTGATCATCAACCACCTATTAGATGATATACTGTTTAGGTATTTGAGCAAAGCCCCTTGTGCTCCCTCAACATTTGCTAAGGTGTCATCCATGTTCTCATCAATCCTGAGAATGAGATTACCAATCAGATCAGGTAAAAATGTCTGCGACTACAAGTCAAAACATATAACTAGCCAAAAAACTGAAAGCATATACTTCAGCTCTCACTTAGAACTGTCGAATTTTTCTAGGTAGTTGAATATCTATTAATACTCATGCAAACAGCAGCAGAAAAGCACTTTTTTTTTTTTTTCCATTTTTTGGTTGGATGAACTGATGAAGGTGGGACAGAGAGGTGATGGGGGATACAATTGAAAATTTTCATATCCTATGTGAACACTTTAAGATCTCTTTTATTAGGGTGTAGCCCTCCCTTGATTCTGCTGCTGCATGGAAAGACGCAAACTGTAATACAAAGAGATTGTTCTATGTAGCATGCAATTCATTAAAATACAAACTAATTGGAAACAATTAAAGTGAATGCCAAATACCAAGTGAACATAGCTAGAGAAAATAAACCTGATAGCAATCTCTCCTTGCTGGGAAACCAATGTTGCCAATTGGTTGAAGATGCTGCCAAGCTCATGGATAGTGGACTCTACATTTTGAAGAGCTTCAGCTCTGCTTTGCATATAAGTGTCTTGCAATGGAACCAGTTGCTGTTGCTGTTGCTGCTGCAGCAATGGTTGGCTATCCCCTTCCATCTGCTTTCTGCATATTCAAACCATGAATGAGATTTCACAAAGATACAAATCCAATGTTCTTTCAGGTCATACAAAAAGTTACAAATGGGTAGATTATGTATGCAACAAATGACTGAAACAAAAGTAATGAGCATCAGTTTATTCTAAAGCACCTAGAAAAAAAGACATTGCACAAAAAAAAATCAGAAAATTACATTCCCACAATGGTATATCTCATTGGTTTATCCCACCGCCCACAAATTGAGACAGCTGAACAAGCTTTACCTGGGAAACAACTGAGATGAAGACGATGACCCATTAGCCCATGGAGGGGGGTTACTTGGGGCACCAGAGTCTGATTTGGCAGCAAGAGGACGCTGACGAATAAAAGGATTTGCAGAATCCTTTGAAGCAGTGGAAGAAAACAACTGTCTTCTATTCTCATGAACCTTCAGATTCTGCACAAAACCATCAAAATACCATAAGGCATCATAGATTCCAGCACAAATAACATAACCATAACAACAAGACCAATCATGCAAGAAAACCAGATGAGTAAACTGACCAAGATCTCCATTAAATCTTGCCCTTACCTCTGTTCTCATGGTGAGGACTTCTTTGAACTCTTTCGTGGCACTCATCAATCGATTCTTCAGGTCATCTACAACTGTGGTTGAGTGACTAGTAGTATCGCTCGAGACACCACTTTCATTCCTGGCACTGCAAAAGAATTGAAGGTCCACTACTACAGAGTTAAGTGCAGTGATATCCTGCTTGATGACTGCCGTAAGCTCCTGTATTTCCATGGTGGGATCATCAAAAACTGAAGTTCTCTTTGCCACTGCAGAACATACAAAAGGTATTATTGATTTACTCAACAAAACCATACATTATGATGTTTACAAAAGAATTCAGCATCACATTATCTAGGACAACAACCACTGAGATAAGAAAATAACCCATCACGTTATCTTAGACAGTTCTTATATAATGAAATCGATATAATGCAAATCAATTTAACAAAACTACTCACATTTTGCTAACTTTGCAAGCTTCTGTGAGGTCTGATGAATTCCAAACCCAATCTTAGACGCCCTCCTGTTAAACTCTGATTGATGTGCAATCGCAGATCGCTGTTCCTCAGCTTTGGAACTGCTGCTACTTGGCCCATTTTGCCCTGGTCCTGATGAAAACGACTTCTTTACCCTATCTGCTATGCTCCTGAATTCTTGCGTCCTATCCCGAAATGAAGATTGTGCAGGTTTCACAGGCATTTTAATATTTAACCTAGTTCCATTTTCAAAATTGAAATCCTAGAATCAGAATATCCAACTTAACACATAAATAAATTCCTTAATCCTATAATCAAATAACCAACTTAACACAAAAATAAACTCCTTAATCCTAGAATCAGAATCTCCATCTCCTAAATTTCTCAGAAACCAAACAAAACTAAGATAGGTACAAGGAGCTTACCAACGGGTGGTGATCGGATCGAGATCTAGAACCTAAACCGCCAAATTGAGCCTGATTTTGCAGGAACAACCGACAATCTAACTCGAATCTCAATGGCGAACCAAAAGAAGCACTGGATCTGGATCGAGATCGCTGCGGTTGTGTTGGAATCTAGAGGTTGATGCAATGCGAAATTTTGCGAAGAGAGGAGAGCTTGATTTCCCGTCGTCCGTATAATTGGGATTTTGCAGTAAGGCCCCCTGGCTTGGATTCTCTGCCTTTTTCTGAAGGGATGATTTGACCCTCAAACTTTATCGCAAGTTGCTAGTAAGCTCATCAAATTAAAAATGTTTTTTACTGTAATTTTTTTCGAAATAAACTATGAACAATGCTAGTTTTTATAATTAAATTTATTTTAATTAATATTTTATACAATTTTAATAATCATAAGGTATACAACACTTTTCAAGGTAATTTTTTTTTTTTTTATGATTGATTGTATAACATATAATATTTCTCCCTTTCTCTTATTTCTCTCGTATGTATTCTAAGTTTCAAACTTAAATTTTAAACTCAAAATATTCAATTTAGAGTTTAAAAATTTTAATCACTTGAAAAACCCTTTTAGTGGTATTTTACAGAGTAATTATAATCTATACATGTTGAATCACTAATTAGGTAATTAACTCTTATAAAAAAGGTGGTTAGTACTTAGTAAGATGATTTTAAAATGCATAATTTATATAAATAACATATTTTAATTAAAACAAGAGGTTAGGGCATTTTTTTTCTTTTCAAATGTTTTGAACACTGTAGTTAGGGGATGATGGAATCTTCTAAAAAATTCATGATTGAATTTTCTTAAAAATTTCTTAAGATGATTTTAAAATGTATGATTTATAAGAATAACATATTTTCTTTTGGTAACACTAGTCACTATTTTACCTAAACATTTTGCTTGTTATCCTTTTTAGTCTCGTTATAGCAGCTCTCAGTTCCCTGACTCTACCTATTGTTGTCCCAGGAAGGAGATCAAATGGTACTGCTTTTGGGGGATGAAAGGTTTGTATATCTAGTACATAACTATGCATCTTTTGATGATTCCCCATTGTCTCGGGCATCACCAAGGGTATTTTCACCACGAGATACCAGCAACATGGGATATTTCTCTATTGGCTGTGATGGATTTGATAGGAATCATCGCCAGAAACTTCAAAGAAGCAAGTCGAAGAAATTTCGGTCTTTTCTACCACTGGATGAAATGCAAATGTTGGCTTCCCACAATCAGAGGGTAATGGGCAAGAGAAACGGAATAAATAGTTGGAATCTGGACTTTTCTGATTGGCCAACCCAACGGCATTGCTACCCAGATGACTCTTTAACTTTAAGGCATGACCCTGAACAGTTGGACTGTTCTAATCTTGATGAATTGAGGTTCCGTGCTGCATCTCGTGCTGCCCACAGTGTGCGTAACATGGCAAAGCTCAAGAGAGAGAGAGCACATAGATTGATGTTCCGAGCAGATGCAGCAATCCACAAGGCTGTGGCTGCTCTGATGACTGCTGATGCGGTCAAAGCTTCTTTTGAGGACTCAAATGAAAACCCAAATGGTGATGGGTAGGATGATGACAAGTGGAAATTGATCAAAACTTTGAGTTCTGGAATTCAAGAATACTCGAGACATTGGCATTGCTTTTGCTTGCTGTTTTTACCATTTCTTGTTATGGTTGCCTGGAGTCCTCATTGATTGATTCCTGAGAAAATGTTCTAACTGGAAAGTAATGGGCATAAACAGAAGACTCTTTGCATCTGTGCTTTGCATTGTTGCAGTATAGGTATGGAGCTCCACCACAGTTTTTCAGCAGCTAGTTCTTCCCAAAGCAGGTTGGCACTACTGCTGAATCGACCCTGCTGTAAAGGAATTGTATTGAATTGAAATTTTGGCTACCGGTGCTTATGTACAGAATTTTTGTTAACTTCCTCCTTAGTTTTTGAAAGCAAAGTAGCGGTAGGCAAAAATGATACACCCCTTGGAATCATATTACTGTCTCTCCTGCCTGACTGAAATGTTTTGAGCATTTGTAGTTACTTGTCTTCCCAAAAAAAGAAGAATGGAAAATTTTCTGTAAGTACTTGTCTTACAAATTGTCAAAGAGATTCGTTAGTGCGTCTCCTCCTCTCGTGTCATTATACAACAGCCTGACTTGGGCAAGAAGCTTCACCTCTCTTTGAAGATGAATTCAAATGGTCATTCATTAAAATTATATATAAGGTTTCCAACACTCTTCACATTGATCTGGTGCGATTTAAGAAAACCCAAGTGTTGGAACTACCAAATTCACATGGGTATATTGTTTAAAGTCGAGCGTAATCATTATCATTGGTGGGAATTCAAAGGCTAAAAACAGGTCAGGCCGACCGTTATAACCGGCAAATTTCCCTCTAACTACTGGCGAACCCAAAACTTGCAAACCCTCTTCATCTTCCTTCGGCTTCTCCATTTCATTTCTCTCCCTAATCTATTTATCCAGGTAAGGTCCGTACATTGTTTTTCCTTTGGTTTGGTTAATAAGAAAATGCGGGGAATTAATTTTTGTTGGGGTGATCACGGTTCCAGAATCCGATATTTGCTTGGTTGCCGAGGGAATACTGCAAAATTTCAATCCAAAACAGAGACACCCACGAATTGAAAGAAAAGAAAAAGAAGAGAAGTTTTTATTTTTAAATTAGTCATTGTATCAATTTGCCATGAGATGACTACTTTTTGCTTCTGTTGATTATCTTGACTTTGTTCCTTGGGGTATGTAGCATTTACTTGATTTTGGTTGTTTTTGGGTGAAGGGGGAATAAGTTTTTGGAGAAATGGGGAAACGGAACAAGGAAGGTGATAAAATAGAGAGGACAATTCGTGCTCTTCTCAAAATCCCGGAGAATAAAAGATGCATCAACTGCAATAGTTTGGTATGGATTTCCCTCTTTTGCTCTGTTTGCCTCTAATTTTCAGTTTTTTTTTTTTAATCTTATGTAAGGTATCATCTCAAGCATCAAAGATTGAAAAATTATTGTTATTGATTGCCAAATAATTCAAGACTCTTAAGTTGGAGTTCTCTTGATTGTACATTCAAGCAGGTGAGATGGGAAGGGATTTGGGAAAGGGAAGGGCCATCTTGCACAATCTACCCAAAGAATTATTATAATTCTTTGGTGGGGGGAGGGAGGTACACAATATGAGGGAAAGTGGGAAACCATCCCCTTGCCTGCCTCAATGGTCGAACCTAGGACCTCTTTCCTCGGGTTGAAGGAGATTAAGATTATTATGGACTACTTATGTTGTTGGCAGTAACCTTAATTGGCTGATAGAGTGTTTGAATTTTGTTGAAAGGCATTTTAATGAAAAGCAATTAGAAGCTAGCACAGGCTACATTGGATCAAAGTTCAAGATACCTTTTTATGTGATATGATACAGAGACCAGCATTCTTACTTCTTGGCAGGGACCACAATACGTTTGCACAACCTTCTTGACTTTTATTTGCACCAACTGTAGCGGAATACAGTAAGTATTAGTATGCCTTGCTTCTGGCATAACCTTTTCAAAAGAGTTATTATGGTTTTATGGATTTTCCCAAGTTCAGTTCATTACTAGATAGATGTATGCAAGATGTAGAGACTTATTTTGAAATGAAGTGTTTTCTAATTATTCCAGTAGGGAATTCACACATCGAGTGAAATCAGTATCCATAGCTAGGTTTACTGCAGAAGAAGTAACTGCTCTTCAAACAGGAGGAAATGAGGTATGTACTCATATTCAGTGTGTATTGATTAGACATTGTTCCTTTTGATTAGATAGATTAACTTCTTTATTTTTCACTAACTTAAGCTGCTTTTGTAGCGAGCAAGGGAAATTTATTTCAAGAATTGGGACGTGCAACGAAATTCTTTACCTGATGGCAGGTTATTAAGCACCTTTCTTTCATCTAGTTATGGATTTTACATTGTACAAAATGTGTCCTCTGATTCAGGTTTTTGCTTTGATCAGTAATCTTCAAGGACTCCGAGACTTCATCAGGAATGTTTATGTGGATAGAAAATACACCGGTGAGAGGACTGACAAGCTTCCAATGCTCAGATTGGTAAAATCCCTATATATACATATCAATGGAATGCAGTGTCTGTTAACTTGTCATGATTGCTTATATCTTTGTTGAAATTTGGGCAAATGCTGATGCAGTTGGATCCATGGTCTGAACCTAATAGTTTTGTGGTGATAGAAGTGTCATGATTTACTTTTAGTCCTCTGAAACTCAAATGATTCTTCACTATTTCAAGGATTCTTGTTTATATTATGCAGGCTAAGAGTGAGGATTTCAGTGGAAGCAGGAAGCTTGGTTCATATTTTGACGCTAAAAGCCCAAGTTATGAAGATAGATATGAACAGAAAAATTGCAGTCCTACTGGGAGAAGCGATGAAAGAACTTTCAAGTGTTATTTTGATGAGAGAAGTAACAAAGATGCCCAAGAAAATTCAAGATATGGAGGTTCACGGAGAAACCCCGTCCGCTTTGAGATTGTAGATAACAGAATTCGTGATACTGGATCTGGAAGTAGTAGAAGGCATGAGAGCCTCGGCTTTCCAGATAGAGAATGCAAGTCGGAAATTTGGTCACCAAAGCTTCAAAAGAACATTGACAGCTCTAAACCTCCAACAGTACAGCCTGTTAGAGATATTTTAGGGAAGAATGTTCCTGGTCTCCATGTTGGTGAAAATTCAGAAATGAATACTAGGAAAAATGAAGGTGGTTCAGATGACAATAAGGTGTAGCATTTGTTATTAAGCTTAACATGCACTTTAAAGCCATGGGTCGTTGGTGTTATTAATGACTATTGGAAACCATGGACTGTAAAAGTTTTCAGCTTGAATTTTTGTCAAACGTTTTGATTGTTATGGAGCTTTCATACTCTATTTTGATGCATTTTTATGGTGAATTGTTACTGTGCACTTATCCAGTTCTTGCTGCTCATTGCAGAACATCACATCATCTGGTAGCCAAAAATCTGTTGATAGAAATATTTTGGAGCATAAGAAAGGGAACTTGGAAAGCTTGATTGATTTTGATTTAGATTCAGAGCCCTCTAATGCAGTAGCAATGCTTAATGCAGAGCAGATGCCTGCTGCATCCATTGAAGGTGGCAACCAGCTTTCATGTGAACTTTCTTTAAAGGAGAAAACAGCTCAGGCCTCAAATGCAAATACTTTGGAATTTTTGCTGTTTGACTTGTCAACGCCAGCACCTTCAGGTGTAACTGTTGATAATATGTCTGCAGCACTGGGCACTTTTTTTGATGCCCCACAGAATGCATCTGAAGAAAATGTGCCCCTAGCTGGTGTTTCAGCAGCTGGTTCTGCAGAAAAGCTCTTGCTGTTGACCAATGATTTTGGTTCTTCAACAACAGAACCTATTACCAATCTCCACGTGAAACCTTCTGTAGGTCCTCCTCAGGCTGTGAATGATAAAAGTGGTGGCTACAATAATAAAGTTCCTGATGGACCACAATTACTCACAATGTATCACGATCAGCCTTCTGCATTTCATGCATCCTATGGTAGCTCCAGTGCACAAGGTACTACAGCAGACACAGCTTTGAATAACCAGGTCAGCATTAGAATTGATTTGAAGTTTGTTAAGAATAAATAAATACATTCTTCTGTAATAAATTGAGGAGCTTTCTTTTCATTTATGGAATTTTATCATCCCAGTTTGCTGCACCCTCGATATGACTTCTGGATACTCACTCCAGCTTTTTCTCTAAAATATGATACAGACCACTGAAATTGGTCAAATATTAGAAATTAGTCTGAAGGGGTTGGATATTGACAGACATTTCAAATATTATCAAATGCTTAGCAAGGTTTGTCTTCCTTATCTGTATGTAGATAGACTTGCTAACCTTGTTGCTTCAAATTTTCAGCCTTATACTTCATCACTCAGGGATGGCACTCAAGGGCCTTTCAATGTTTCTTCTGACCAATCAATTCAAGTCATCTCTAGATCAACCAGAGACACAAATTGTGGAATTAGAATCCAGACTCTTTCAGCAGAATCAGAGTCTAGTGGAAGGAAGGAACTTCCTGCGGTGATGATTTTTCTTATGTCCCTTTATAAATTTCAAAAGATTGTTGTTGTGACATATTCTTTTATCTCCATTACTCCATAGGACTTCTTTAGTGCAAGTCATTCATCAGTCCCTGCAGCAGTTCCAGGTTGGCAAACAAGTCTACCTCATGGCATGCAGTATTACCCAAGGGCAATGGTATCTTATGTTCAAGTCATTTAACTTCTCTGTTAACTCTTGCTTAATACATAGATTCATTTAATTGCTAATCTGGTGTACAATTTACAGCATGTGTCAGGATTTCCAAACACAGTAAAACCGACAAACCCATTTGATTTTAACAGTGAAACAGCTGCAACACAAGTCCCCTCGGTAAGCACCACATCAAAGTGATATTGCACTCTTCTTTATTTGGCTCCTAACTTCTACTTGAACTTTCAAATGCCTCTGCCACGTCAAACTGATTGAAATCTAGATTCTTGTCTAATAATGCTTTTCTGATCAGAAATTCTTCGTTATTTTTGTGATATGCTTGTGAGGAACACATGTAAAATAGTTGTTCCTGTTATATCTATAGAACTTGTTTTAACTTTGAGAAACATGTCGTTATTATCTAGTTTCCTTCCATGACATCCTTGCAAGGAGCAATCCCAAATGTGTCGGCCCCCACACACCTGTTGCATGCATCCAGCTTTGGTGCCCATCATCCAGGATTGATGACATCTCATTCACCATCTTATAACCCTATGATGTCTCCCCAGTCTTCTTTTGGTATGGCAACGTCTCATGGTAAATTTACTTGTTCACTTCTACATCTGATAAAATTTCACCTTAAACTAGCTTTTCTGTTTTGCCCGTGCCAAAATTTTTCCAGGTACATACACGGTAGAGCAATCACATAGTGTTTCGCCAAGGTAACATTTTCTAACTTTGTGTCCTTTTCTTTGAAAGTCATCTCTTTCTGACCATATAGTTAATGCCTTAATAAAAAAATTTACCAATAGTCTCACCATTTTGGTCCATAATTTTCATTTTGGTTTTTGAATGGTGGGTTCCTTAATAGGGATAATTATCTTCCATCCATTTTATAAAGGTACTTAGTGTCATGACTAGAACCCAAGACTTGTAATTTCCAAAGGTAGAAGTTTACTACAAAGTTATTTGGTCATTTCATTCAACTAGTTAAAAGTACCCAAAGCATGTCATGTCTAAATTTGCATGCTACTTGCAACATGATCCTAACATGAAATTACTGGATATGCAAGGCAAGGCTTTGCCAACATCTGTTTGGCATGTTATTATTCAGTTAGCATGCTTGTTCCCTTATACCAGATACTACAGTCTGGGGTAATATTCAACATGAACTCTCTCTTCCTGTGTGCCTTCATGAGCAATTTCTTGCCATTGTTAACTTATCTTCTATATCAAAGAGATACAATATTAAGATTTTTGAGTTTCCTAGCAGACAAGAAGGAACTCATGGCTTCGCTGGTGCAGGAGCTATTTCCGGTTCCTTAATCACAATGCCTAGGCCTACAGATGGATACTCAGCAGCTACTCCAAATTATTTTCATACATTGGGAGGAAATCCATTTGGATAGATGGGATAACAGAAGTTGTTGTTTCAATGTTTGCTGCAACCTTGGCCAAGAGGAGAATTACATAATTATAGATCAAGAGGAAGCCTTTGAGAACAGTATATTCTAGACTCTACATAAGAAGTATTCTAGACCTGGTTATTGTTAATACAAGTACATTACCTAGCACCAAAAGAGGTTGTTAGGCACATAACTGAAGGTGATATAAGTACACTTAGCAGTACTTAATCAGAAAAAAAAGGTAAACCTCCCAAATATAAATGGGAAAGATGATTTTAACTGATATGTCTCTGCAAACAGTGCGTACTTCTTATTCTTTACCATTCTAATTGCAAATAAAATCATAATTGAAGCAACATAGATAAAATAAATCTCATCTCTGCATGTAATTACATTAATTTCACTGCAAGCAACCTACTTTCTCTATCCTGCTTCTTATCCTCGCTTCCCCTGCTAAAATTCTCTTTTTTTCTTTAGTCCCACATCCACATGGAAAAAAAAATTGATTTCTTTGCATCTTGTTCTATGATCTTCTTTTGGCGTGGATGAATAACCCATGAAGAAAGGGTCAACGATGAAATCTGTGTTACAAAATCAGTAGAACGGTGGTGGCAGAGGAGAAGCATAGTTCACTTCTTTGAGTTGTGGAAATGTAGTTGGTGGTGGTAGGGATGGCGGAGGTGATTGGTCATTGCAGGGTGGAGGAGATGGAGGTGGAGGTGGAGGCGGGGGTGGTGGTTGTGCACATGGAGGTAGAGGCGGTAGTGAATTTGGTGGTGGCGGAGGTGGGGAGTAGACTGATGGAGGAGGAGGAGGATGTGAATGTGAGGGTGAAGGTGGTGGTGGTGAATAATAATGCGGGCTAGGTGGAGGGGTTGGTGGTGAATAAAATGGAGGCGGCGGTGGTGGAGTACGACAGCCGGGAACCGGAGGCAGTGGCGGCGGTGGCAGAATAGGCTGAGGAGGAACAAATGGTTTACATTTGAAGGCTCCACAATCAACAGGCCTAGACAAAAACACCTTACACTCCAATCGTGACCTCTGCATTGGCCTACCTCTCAAACAGTTCCTTCCCCCCTCAAAGTCCAAGCAAGCCGGAGACTCCCCCGTGAAAAAATTTTCAGCGAAACTAAAATTCAGCAGATTTGGAAGTAGACACACTTTCTCAGGAATCGTCCCCGATAACATATTGTGCTCCACTCCTAGCACTTCCAAGCTCTCCATTTTTTCGATGGAATCCGGTAATTCTCCGGTGATCTGGTTATAACTCACATCAAATACTGTTACGTTTTTCAGCAACCCAACCTCCTTAGGAAAACATGTCTGCAAACCGTTGTTTCTTAGAACTATTTCGTTTAGGGTCTTGGACATGTTGCCTAAGCTCTCCGGAAAGCATCCACGGAACCTGTTGTTGGCCAGGACGATAACAGAGACCGGAGAGTTCCCGATGTTTTCCGGTAACTCTGAAGCGAATCTGTTGTCGTTCAAGAAGATGGCATCGAGATGTTTGTCGAATAGGGCTTCTGGTACCTTACCTTCAAACTCATTGAACCTGAGATCAAGATACTTGAGGCTCGGCAGCTGGAGAACAACCACAGGAAACTTGCCGGCGAACCGATTATTGCTGAGATCGAGCTCGTAAAGCAACCTCAGTTTCTCCAAACTCCTGGGAACTCCGCCACAGAAGCGGTTGGAGTTAAGATGAATCAACGCTATATCAGTAAGTAATCCAAGCTCTTCGGGAAGGTACCCCGCAATGTCCCCATGGTTGATATCAATGCCAGCAACAGTTTCTACAGAGGAGTCGTCGATGGCCCAAGCACAAAAGATTCCGGTGTAGTTGCAGACATTAGGTCCCACCCAGTTGGAAGTTACACCCAAAGGATCGGATATCATAGCTATCCGCTTCCATGTTTGTAGAACTGAATAGGCAGTTTTAAGCCTGGAATTGGAGAAAGTAGCAAAAATGTGGTCTGTGGGTCGATACAGAAGCTGTCTCTCTCTGGTAAACAATGCAGCTTGGCGGGAATCTGCATGGGGACGGGTAGGGCCGGAGAGATTATAAAGCATGGTGAGAGAAATCAGTATGACAATGGAAAACAAAACCAGAATGTGACTCTTTTTCTTCATCACATCTAATACCAGTGTGACAGTGGATGGAGCTGAAGGAGTGTAGGTAACAAATTGTGAGTGTAAGTGGTATTTAAGATATGTCAGACATCTAACATACAATCAAAATTCAAGGAGCCAAGTGGAGAGTTGCAGGGATTTGAGAGAGCGTGTATTTGGGGCGGAGCAGTTGTAGTTGCCCGTTCTTACACCACACATCAATCCGATTTAATCGTTCCTTAAGATATTCTTCCCTGAATGAATCCATCATGATATAAACAGTACATTATTTGATTTAAGACAATGATTCACCCCAATATAACTTACAATTATAAAAACAGCTATTGATCAACAGGACCATGAATCTGCATTCATGTTATGTGTCTATGATACTCTATTATGAGACAATATTGAGGTGAATCAGCTCTTTATGGGTATGTAAATATAACTGAAGCAATTGAATGCATCTCAATTAAAAAAAAAAAAACAGAAGCTCAATTGCCTGCCTAGGTACTCGATTCAATCCACTGAACTGTTCTCTTTGTGAATGTTCCCATCAACTTCTGAATATGGAGGAACTGTTCTCTTCCAGAACCAATGCTTTTTCCACAACAATGTCATCTCTTCAATAGGAACTCCCTTGGTCTCCGGTACAAAAAGATAAACGAAGAAGGTCATCACAGTAATCCAACCGGCAAAGAACAAGAAGATCCCGAACTTGAATGCACATAGAAGGGCAAGGAAGCTCTGAGCTATTATGAAAGTGAAAAGAAGGTTTACTGCAACAGTGATGCTCTGTCCAGCTGACCGTGTTTCCAATGCAAATATCTCACTTGGCACTGTCCAGCCTAGAGGTCCCCATGAACATCCGAATCCTAAAACAAAGAGGCAAATCAACACCACCACCAATGTTGAATAGCCCTTTGTTAGAGATTGGTCTTCCCCAAACTTTAGCCCCAAGATTATAGCAACGATGACCTGTTTCAAAAGGCAGATGTAGGGCAGTGAATTTTCTAATGTTTTTAGAAGCATCTTATGCATTAGCAGAATCTTGGATGGTTAGTTTACCTGACACACGATCATTAGAATTCCACCGCTGATGAGTAAAACTCTTCGCCCCAATCTATCTACTGTCGCAATGGAAATAAAGGTAGATCCTGCCAGAACTGCTCCGGTGACAGCTGAGGAGTAGAGTGAGGCCTTTGCTCCAAACCCCATGCTACGGAACAGCACTGGAGCGTAGAAGAGAATGGAGTTTATGCCAGTTAGGATCTGGAATGTCGGCATGAAGATGGCCATCGCCAATTCTGGCCTGTTACTTCTCTTAAGCATGTTCCTGAATGGGTGCTTAATGGATTTACCCAATTCGCTGGCATCTATCATGTCTTGAAACTCTGCATCAACATTATTAGTGCCTCTAATTTTGATGAGGACTTCTCTGCCTTTATCAATCAATCCCTGCTGAATTAGGCTGTTGGGTGTCTCAGAAAGAAGTAATCCTCCCACAGTCATGACAAATGCTGGTGCTGCTGCTAGGCCTAGAGAAAGCCTCCATCCCCATGAGTCCAACTTCTGTGTTCCATAATTGACCATATTTGCTGTAAAGATGCCGAGGGTTGTTGCTAACTGAAACAAGATGTTGAGGCTTCCTCGAAGATGAGTAGGTGCCATCTCTGATAGATACACTGGAACAGCCTGAAAATTAAAATACCCTTTAAATTAAGGAAAATGGAATCAATACAATAACTAAATTGTTGAATTATTATTCATGTACCTGGTTTCCAAATCCAATTCCAATGCCAAGCATGATCCGACCCAGGAGGAGCATTGCTAGGTTCAAAGCTGCAGCATTGAGACCTGCTCCAACAAGAAAGCTGACTCCCCCACAAATTATACTCACGCGGCGTCCATAGTTCCTAGTAACCGGAGATGCCACAAGAGATGCTACCAGGCCAGCAAGATACAGAGATGAAGTAAAGGCGGCGAGGCCTTGGTCATTGTATTTGCAGTAGTTGTTTTCATGGACACGGTGCTTCTTTACATACACCCTATAGAAAAATTTCTTAAGAAATTCATCCATGGATGTAACTCCTCCTGCCATTTAATTCTCGAATTAAAAGGAATCAAGTGCAGCAGTGTATATATATATACATATATTCAGATTAATTTCTTTGTAGAATATTCTTGAATACCCAGCCCAGATCAACAAAACAAATTGTGGGTTAAAGTCAACTCACAAGAGAAAACCAATCTTATTTCTTAAAATTATGGAAGGTATTAGGGAAGGTACCTGAAATCCCAATGTCATAGCCAAACAGTGAGCCACCAACAGCAGCAATGATGCATGTAACAAACACGTAGACGGTGGCTTTCCCTTGGTACTGCGCTGCTCTCTCCTTGGTCACGCCAACCGAACCTACAGACCCCCCTCCCGCCATTAGCAAAGCTTCTCCTCCTCACCTCTTCTCCTCTGCTTCTTCTTATTCACTCCTTGGTCACACCAACCGAACCTACAAATCCTCCTCTTGCCATTAGCAAAGCATCTCCTCCTCACCTCTTCTCCTCTGCCTCTTATTCACTCTGGTTGAGGAGAGAGAAAGAATTTTTTTTGATGGAATTGAGGGAGAAGGGAGGGAGAAGGGAGGGAGAAGTCAAACAAACCTTGCACTGGATAGAAAATGATTGATGTACCAAGTCATATGAGGTTTGTATAACTTGCAACTGGGTAGAATAAATGTTTTTCTTATATATATACATATATATATATAACTTATATAAAAAAATTATAAAATTTGATATTTAAATATTATTACCTCATGAGTAATTTTAATATTAATTAGTAAAATTAAAGTTATTTTTTTATATAAATTAATTAAAAAATATATAATAAATGCATTATAGATAAACCTCTCACTTGATGATAAGTGAAAATAACATAATTTATTCTCTTATCTCATAATAATAGGTATATTGTAATTTATGATTTGTTTTTTTTTTTTGTGAACCACTCGATATCTGGAAATTCACTAGATCACCGACTAATTTGCATTTGAGCCGGACAGAACTAAACGGTAACAAAACTCTCTCTTACGAGTTTTAACGGAACTATATTCTTAAAGTTTAAAATCAAAACCTCTAGTTAAACTGAAAGAATTCTTTACCAACTCATTCACATACTCGTATAATATAATATGCCTAACTACTTTATTAACTATAAAAAATTCAACATAATTAAATATATAAATAAATAGAGTTGTTTTGATTAAAGAATTATAAACGTTAAATTAATTTAAAAATTAATATGCATGATATATATAAATAAAACATTTAATCTGAAAGTTAATTTTTAAAAATATTAATTAAAAAATAAATTTTCATATAAATCTTTCAAAAAAAATTTAAAAAAATAACAAACCTTGCACCATCCTCTAATATTAAAGTCAAATACCTAAATATCTTTATAAAATAAGAAAGTTGAGAAACTTCACCTCCCAACTCAACAGTCCCTATATTTCTTTGGTACATTAATGAGTGATTGGATGTGTACTTCAATTCGATTTAGGATATCTTCCATGTTTGCATTTAATATTCTAATTCAAGTCCGTAGAATGATAATGGATAGACTTGTAATTCAAAGTTAGATTTGTTTCCAATAAAAGTACAAAACAAAGGCAAGACGAATCCTTAAGTCCCTCAACTTACCCCATGTTAGCTCATTGACCCTAAAACTAAAAAATAAGCAAATATGCCCCTAAACTGTACAAAGGATAACGATTCAATCACTCAGCTAACGCTATTGTTTCTATCCGTTAGTTTTGGCTGAGGTCCGTTAGTTTCTGTTTTGAGTTTTGACGATCTTATGTGGAAAGTAAAAATATATGATCAATTTTTAATTTTAATCCATAAATTTTTTGCATTTCACACAGAAGTAATCCTTGAACTTTAACTATTTTTATTATTTTTTAAAAGGACATATATATAAGAATAATAGCCACAAATCCAATCCCCTGTTCAGAATGTGCATAAAAATTGACTTGGCATTTCAAGAAACAAAAATTAAAAATAAGGATTGAATATATTATATGGTCCAAATTGTGAGTTTTTTTTTTTTTTTTTGGTAGCTTGAGTCCAATATACTTGGAATGATAGTAAATACACATTATCGAAAAAATTACTCACAAATTATCAAGGTAGATTTGAAAAATTAAGTCCAAATATCCAACTATATAACGATTAATTGAGTAATAATAAACCTAACAAATAAAAAGAAAATGACTATAAACATCTTTAGGAAATATCATCAAACCATTAGTATGTGTATTGAATAAGATATCATCTTTTTTTCTGATTTTTTTAAAAAAATTTGTTCCTAAATTAAACTACATGTTTAAGTAGTTTAGTATAATTGTTAAAATGAAGAAACTCATGACAAAAAACAACTAACACAAAAAATAATAAGCATTGGATTGAAGTGAGCATTAAAAATTCAATGCGATGTCATTATTTTACCTCCTGAAACAATCTTATGCTATTAGCAGAAAGGAAGAGATGATTACGCCACTGGGCACTGACCAAAAGGGTGACTAAAAATTTCATTTATTTATGTTTTTGGTTTTAATTTTAAGTAAAATAATTTAAAGTTTAGGAACATGGTATCCATTAAAATTTAAAAGTTTATGTACTGAATGTAATTTAACAATTTTCTTAAATTGAAAGGTAAGACAATTTAATGGAAAGTAAAGACAACTGTTAACAAAGGGCTAATTTGCTCATACAACAGAGTTCAAAGGCTTATAAGGTTAAAAATTAGTTTAAGGGTTTACGTATAAGAATGGAGTAAGTCTAGGGGCTTAACGTAGGAATTTACCTAAAACAAGAAAGAAATATTTTTTTAAATGAAAATGAATATAATGAAAATGTTATATAACATTATAAACATATAACATAATATGTTATAAAATTAATTTTTTTTATTTAGGATTCACTTATAATATTATATTTATATATTAATTTAATAATACGTTACACTCATTTAATAACACATTATAATTATAAATTTATAATTTTATATAATATTATAATTAAAATATTATTGTATTCAAAATACATCTTTTTCTCGAAATTATCATGAAATGGGAGGTCTAAATCTAATTACATCAAACATAAATTTAGAAGAAAGACTAACAATACTCCACAACAGCATGAAATGGGAGTATTTAAAAATCTTTACAACTCATGTTTAGATCTAATTAAAGCTAAAGATGTTAGGTTTAATATATATATATATATATATATTTGCTCATTGAAAAATGATAAATTTCTTTATGATTCATAATTACATTGGAAAGAATGAGATGGCGAAGAACTAGTCCACACATAAAAGATAATGGTTGTAGCCGCAAGGCACATGGCATCCATTAGCTCTATTTATTCCAAGGAAAACTCTCACTTGCATGCTACTACCTTATGTATGATAGATTTTTATTTTCTGCAATTCTGTATCTTTCTTTTTACTTTCTTTTTCTATATGTTCGTATCAGGAAAAAGGAATTCAAGTACAGGGACATGAGTTGTTTTTCCACACACAAAAAAGAAAGGTACAGGGACATGAGTTGTTTTTTCCACCCAAAGAAAAAGAAGTACAGAGACATGAACTTTCGGTTTCAGTTTCACATCATGCCCGGCCCTTTCTAGTATTTGCCAGCATCTGCAAGAGATTTTGGGTACCATGATACCATCTCCACCACATATCCCCACTCAATGAGCGGTTTTTATATTAGGGATGGATCTAATATGGTTTGGATTATATATTAAATGTGTATTTTATTTTATAAATTTATTAAAATATTTTAAAATAATATAATATAAAAAAATAATTTTATTAAAAATATTTTAATAAATTTATAAAATAAATTATATTTTTAATATATAATTTACCTTATAAAATATTATTTTATTTTATATAATATCATTTTGACCATCATTATGAGTTAATATTTCAAAGTTTAAATTGTATTGTATTATAAAATATTAATTATACCAACGAGGGGTTGAATCAAGTGGCAAGCGACTTGTTCCAGCTTAAGCAAGGTCTCGAGTTCGAGATCTTGAGTACGCAGCAGTCTTCGTTGGGAAACCTACCCACCATTCTGGTGCGCCACAGCTGGTCGAGTCCGGAGTAATCGGGGCAAAACCCCGGATACCGGATGGAAAACCAAAAAAAAAAAACATTAATTATATCAATGACCTATTGATTCAAATAGAAAAATCAAAGGAGTTTAGTTCCTCTTAAATAAGGTTTGAGTTTGAATCTTATGAATAAAGAAACAAATACTGGGAAAGCTTCCTCCTTACAAGGTTCAATGTGACTTGATTCTAAATTAATCAGAACTCAATGTGGTTATCAGATACTAGAGGTTAATATAAAAAAAACATTAATTATTATTGTTTACACCATAAATTGAAAAAATTTAAGATCATGCCACATATCAAAATTTTTAAATGGGAGAAGGAGATTTAGCCATGTAAGTATGCAATTATGAGTCCCATAACTTATCAGTTGCCACATTTGATGGAAGGAGTTAAAAAGATAAGATTTTATTTTTTAATTACCTTTTTGAGTTAAATTGGGTGTTTTAACTTAAATATATGAGAAGATTTTAGTTATGGGTATGGGTTATCAGATAAAGAGAACATGTGGCGAAATTTGAAAGGCAATCTGACTATGTCAATTGCTGAGATGTTCCACTACATCAAGAAACTACCCATGATTTTTGAAACTGCAAAAAATGGAGAGTTACAGCCGAAAAAAGGAGAACAAAAAGGAAATTGTGGATTAGAGAACACACGATCAACCTTATTCAAAACCTGCAAATTTTCAGACTTTCGTTTTCTTTGTAGTTGCTTACTAATTTCAAATTTTAGCACAATTTTTAGTAGATCTAGGTTGTTTGTCATCATTCCAATAGTTAAACAAGTTCATGTATTCACTTCAACAATTTCATTTCATGTATTGAATATCAAGCTTTTAAATTTCTTCAAGGTACTATTCTTTTTCTGACTGTAATTAGTTTAATATTTATGATAAGTAGCGTTTCATCAAATAATTACTTATATGACGTTTACGTTTTTTTTTTTAATTTCAAACATATTAATTTAATTATTGTTCATATTTAATTTTAATATTATTTAGGGTTAGTCTCAAAATCTGCAGTAATTTAATTTTCAAATCTGTTCATAGATAGTAATTTAATTTGATAATAAACATATTTGATTTAATTTGGGTAAATCTTTTTCTCACAAATTTACTTTAAATTGCACACTACTTAATTTAATTAGGATCTGTTAACTTTGTTTCACGGTAGTGTTTAAGTCTTTGGAGTTGTCAAAAGCAAATTTAGTAACTCATTCTGCAGGAAGGCATCTCTTCCTCTTGCAAATTGTCTGTAGGTACAAATTTTAACTTTAAACCAACGTTCTTCTTGGCATCCACAAGGGGATTGACCATGAGGAAGGAAAAGGTCATTGAGAAAATTCTTCTTTTTTACTCTCAGTAAAATAAGTGACACGTTCGCATCCAGATTTCGCATATACAAGGCCATCAGCGGATTTTTTAGGAAACAATTATATAGAGGATCTCATCCTATTGTTAAAGACCCCGTATTATTTAATGTTTAATGTTTTATACCCGGAACTCTATACCATTCAAATTGTAATACAAATTGCGACACAGTTTTCAATCGAAATTTAATGGCTTCTTAATGACTTTAAAACCATGAAAGATTTGAAGTTTTTGTCAATGGAGTATATTAATTAGTACGGATTTAATACTTTAAATTAGAGATTTAGATTCAAAGTTTGAAATTGGTAAAAAGTAATATTCTTTTCATTTCAATATGTAAGTCATTTGACTTTAAA